ACAAAGGACAAACACTGTATGATTCTCTCATAAAAGGCATTCAGCATAGTCAAAATCACAGACAGAAAGTAGCACGCTGGCTGCCAAGAACTGAGGAGAGGGAAGATGGATCTAGAATTTGAGATGAGAAAGTTCTGGAGATGAACATGCTGACAGCAGCATGGGCTACGAATGTACTTAATGCCACCGAACTGTACGGTATAGGTGAAGATGGTTAAAATGACAAACTTTCAAATGGTTAAAATCATTTCCCTCTTCAGTGTTGGGGACCCAACGCTGGGAAACTGGGCAAATGAGTGAGCAAACCAGTGAGCTAGACTCTCAGCCTGAAATAGCAACCATTATTTCATATTTATTTTTTCTTTTGCTTTGTCTAGGCTGGCCCTAAATTCCCAGAGATCCTCCTATCTCAGCCTCCCGAATGCTGGGATTACAGGCATGCACCACCATTCCTGGCTCTACATTATGCACATTTAATCATAATAAGAACTGTTCAAAAAATTAAATGCCTGTAAAGTCCTATCAAGTGAGTAGGAAGTAGATTATGCTGCTTGCTTTTACCAATCAATAGTTGTATGAGAGGCCAGTAGGAAGGCTATTTCCCTCTATAGAAGGAAATGCTCTTTAATGAGAAGCTAAAGCCACAAAGATACTAGTAAATGGTCACAGTTCAAATGTGGCCCTTTTGCCTTGGAATATTTGCCCTGAATATTAAAGAAAGCCACAAATTTAAAATTTATTTTATTTATTTTTTAGCCAGGCGTGTTGGCACACGACTGTAATCCCAGCACTCGGCAGGCTGAGGCAGGAGAATCGCTGTGAGTTCAAGACCATCCTGGGCTACATAGTGAGTTCCAGATCAGACTCAATTACATAGTCTCTGTCTCAAACCCGCCCCCACAAAAAGAATATTTTATTTATTTTTTGACAGGGTCTTGTTTTGTAGTTCAGGCTGACCCCAAATTTGATCCTCCTGCCTCAGCCTTTGGGAGTACTAGGACTACAGGCATATGTCACCACAACCGGTTTAAAGTCATAATTTTTGAAGTTGTGATTTCATTACTATCAAGAGAACAAATCCAAGGCTGCTAGCAATGGAAACCTTTTAATATTATTTTAAATGTGGTACATTCAGCCATTGGTCTAAACTCTGGGCTATGAAAAATTTGTATTTAACAAGTTTCCTCTGAAAAATGAGCAATATGCTAGTTTGATTGTGGTGAATTAGGACGCAAGTAAAATTACACCTGATTTCCTGTGTTTTTCATTTCCAATATCACTTTGTAAGAACTATGAATGCTTATGAGACATCTTTATTTTCTTTCCTGCCTTGAGCTTTTCTAGACCCCCTTGCCTCCATATATGCATTAATTGTTTGTTTTGAGATGGAGTCTTGGTATCATTTCCCCCGTTTGTCTTATAGTCCTGGGCTCAAGTGATCCTCTTGCCTCAGCCTCCTAAGTGCATGCCTGGCTCCATGTTATTGCTTTGACTAATCACATTATTTGTCCCAATGTGGGGATATCAGAGCATTGCAGCACCAAAGAACAGTGCCTATACAAGAATAGGCCTCAAAGCTTGGCACAGTGACACAGCTGTAATTCCAGATACTGAGGAGGCCGAGATGGGGGTTCCAAGAGCTCGAGAGTTCTGAGAGCAGCCTTGACAACATAACAAGACCTCGTTTCTCCAAGAGCTCGAGAGTTCTGAGAGCAGCCTTGACAACATAACAAGACCTCGCCTATACACAACAAAATAAAACAATGGACCCTAACATGACATGGGAATTCCAAATATAGATATTTATGAAAATAGAAAGATTTTTTTTTTTGGTACTGGCTCCAACTCAGTGCCTTGTATTTGCGAGGGAGGCGGCAGAACCACTGAGCTAAATCCCAGCCCTGCTCTTCTTTCAGCCTTGACAACATAACAAGACCTCGCCTATACACAACAAAATAAAACAATGGACCCTAACATGACATGGGAATTCCAAATATAGATATTTATGAAAATAGAAAGATTTTTTTTTTTGGTACTGGCTCCAACTCAGTGCCTTGTATTTGCGAGGGAGGCGGCAGAACCACTGAGCTAAATCCCAGCCCTGCTCTTCTTTTTGAGACAAATAATCCAGACTGACCTCTAATTTACAATTCTCCTGTCTTGGCCTCTGGAGAGCCCGTATTATGCCACATTGTCCAGAGTTTTGATACTCTGTTACTTGTAAGAAGTGGTCTGTAGGTCAGCTCTGAATGAATCTATTTTTACACAATGTATAATTGTCCAATATTCCTTTCACCTGCATCTTAACCAGTTTCTACCATCTGTATTACCTGTATAATAAAGATACCAAATTATAGCCAAAGAAGCAGATAGCTAACAACGGATATTAATGGCAACCTATTAATGACCTCCGTTCAGAAATAATTACACTTTTTTTTTCTTTTTTCTTTGGTATCAGGGATCGAACTCGGGTCCTTGCGCTTGCAAGGCAGGCGGCGGAACCACTGAGCCAAATTCCCGGCCCTACACTTCTTTTTCTTTCTTGTGGTACTAGGGTTGAACTCGGGCCCTTGTGCTTGCACGGCAGGCAGCTGAACCACTGAGCCAAATTCTCGGCCCCCTAAACTTCTTTTTCTTAAAACAAGTTTCCCAGTATCTAAGATTCAAAACTGGCAAATGCCTAACTTTGAGGAAAAGGAAAAACATTTCACTTTTCTAACACATTGACTCCCCGCAAGTATAGGTGCTCAACATTTTCAGGGCCTAAGGGCCTCCGCTAACTTTTGGGAAAGTTTCTTATACTCATTTAGCCAAGGAAACATGGTAATGAAGCTTTAAGAAGCGCTACTCCTCGGTGACAGTGCACGGAACGTAAGGATGGACTTCATCGTGGACTTTAAGGGAACACCCTCCAAAGCCTCACTCTCTAGGCCAGGCCTAGGGTCACAGGCTGAATTTAGCAGACCTAACTGAAAAACCATGAGGGGCGGCTAGTGCACCGTTATCTACTCTGGTCCAGGGTATCATATAAGCAACCTGGAGATTGCTGGGAAAGCACAGCATGTTTTATTTTCTTCTTGTCCTCAAAACCTCGTGGATGGCGCTGCAATTCCAACCCCACCGCATCCACCCAGAGGGATCCGCGCGACAAACAGGGCCTTGGGACTCGACCCAGTGGTGACAAGCCCGTGCCAAGAGCGCCGTTTCGTCACTACGAGGCCGCGAGGGAAGGCAGGATTGGGGACCGGGAGGCTTACCACCGCCCTCACCCTGTCCCAAACCCGGCGGTCTTCCCAACCTGCCCCTAGTTTTGCAGCCCTAGCCCTTGTAGGTCACTCACCCCCGCTGGGTCGCCGCGCCTCCTCCGTTGCCCGGACAACGCCGCGCGAGAAAAACGGAAACAGCCGAAGGGTGGCGAAGCGCTGCCGAGGCTGCCCGAAGCGCGCGGGGATCGGAAAGAGCCGAGGGTGGTCGGCCGTGCTCGGTGGGCCTCCGGGCCGCAGCCCCGCCCGGACAGAGCCACTCTTTCTGGAGAGCGGCAGGGCAGTGGGAGTTCTCGCTTGGGCCCGAGCGGGTGATAAGGACAGTTCTGGTCCGGGGCCAGCGTCTCTTGCCTTGTCCCCTTTAAATCTTCGCGGGCCAGTGGCCGGTCTCTCGCGAGGCTCCGCCAGGTCGCCTCAGACAAAAGAGCACAACTGAGCGTTTTTCTGAGACCTCCAGAGAGCAGTCGGCTGGGAGCCCGTGCGCGAGCCTTGGGGCCGGGCCGCGGGCCTGAAAACTGCCGAGGTGCCTGAAGCAGATGCAGCACCATGCACGTAGCCGATAGGCGGAATAACAAGAGGCGCGGACCTCGCACGTAGGCAAGATCCTGTTTTTCCAACCCTACTTTATAAACACTACGGTTTCAAAAATACTCCAGCGCCACGACGAGGAAAAGTGACTATTGCCTACACTAATTCGTCCTCTCAGAAGCGCTCCTATACTAACTCATTCCCCTGCCCCACTTCGCGCGCGATTCGAGACGTAGCGCTTAGGCGGCGTTTTCTTCTCACGCATCCGTCAACAAGGCTGCAGCCTATCACAGCGTGGCCGCTGACTCTATTGGCTGTCGGTTCGCCAATCCAGAGAGACGCACGGATCGCACGGGCGCTAGGCCGGCGTCACAACACGCCTGGCGTCGCGGGTCCGCCTCCGAAATAGTGCGTGCGAGTGCGCGCGGCCGCCTCTGACCAATGGCA